ATACTTGGTGAAGGAAGTGTCCCGTTTAATCACGTTAATATTGACCACAATCCCAATTGACCACGTTGCGATTGGCCACGTTGCGATTGATCACGTTGCGATTGACCACGTTGATATTGACCATATTGCAACTGACCATTATCTTGATTGACTATCGTCCCGTTTGGCTACAATTCAGTTTGATCATCGTCCCGATTGACCACCGTCTCAATTGATCATCGTCTCGATTGCTTCCTGTCCCGATTGGCCATTTTGAAATTGATCATATTCAATGTATTACTTTTATTACTGCGATTAATAATTTTTTACCTTTTTACAATATATATATTTTCCAATATATATATATTCATATAAAATGATGAACATATAGACATAGTGACAATTACATAGTACACGTGATATATTTCATAACCTTTGGAAAATTAATTCTTATTTACATATTAAGACTAAGATTTGAGATTAATTATTACTGCAATATGTAAAATTCGGCAGAGTTAGGAGAAAACGAATATGCCGCGTACTACAGTAGACTATACATATAAGGTAAAAAATGATATTGTAAAAAGATAAAAAAGTTATTAATCGCAATAATAAAAGTAATACATTGAATATGATCAATTTCAAAATGGCCAATCGGGACAATGAGCAATCGAGACAATGGTCAATCGGGACGATGATCAATCGAAACAGTGATCAATCGAGACGGTGGTCAATCGGAACGGTGATCAAACTGGACTGTAGTCAAACGGGACGATGGTCAATCGAGACAATGGTCAATTGCAATATGGTCAATATCAACGTGATCAATCGCAACGTGGTCAATTGGGATTGTGATCAATATTAACGTGGTTAAACGAGACACTTCCTTCACTAAGTAACTCGAGATCCGTTCCTTTTGCTGCGCTACTGCTGACACGTCACGAGAACTGTCACAGAGGTTGAAATCCTTCGACACGACTGCCTAACTGAGATTTTGAGCGTAAACAGTACGCAGATAAAATCCGTGCAAAAACTGTTCGTTTTGTTAAATATCATTTCATTTCCGCGTACGCATCCCATTGTAATCCGACGGAACGCGTAAATCAGATCGTAAAGACCATAATTATGCAATATGGTCGGATGCAATCAGAAATGATGGAATGAGACGCTTCCCAAACTTCAATTCGCGTCCAACACCGCGACAAATGAGATGACAGGACACGCGTCCGCATACTTAAATCACCATCACCATCGCCATCACCAATGCCGAAGACGGATGACCGTTGATCAATGACAGATGAATCAACGATCGACGACCCGAACAAACCCACCAATGATAGAATCGATGAAACATCGACCGCCAATGAAACGTCAACGTCAACGACGTGTTCTGTAATTAAGAAGAAGGGACAATCCTAGCAACGCTGAATGACAGCGACATCATTGAGGCGTCCGAAGAAACATCGGGTCTAACAAATAATTCGATATAAACAACTAATTGCCAGGAAAAATCTAAAATCTGCAGATAGTATAAGGGACGAAAAACAAAGACCGGACTATACAACGCTTGACTGGAATATAACATTCTTCGCAGAACGATTATTTCGGTTGCAAAACATCAAATAAGATGAAACAGCAGAAAATTATTCATGAGATCAACGCTCTATTTGAAGGCCACGGGTCAAATGGATGGAACCAGAGCCAGAACCAACACCTCGACTAAAAACAACCTCACTCGGTGACATGGTCCGCTATCCGCAGGGCTAAAAGTCGGCACCAAGATCCAACGGTTCGATGCTATGTAGCAGAGGAAAGTTATCTTACACCTCGCCACAATCTCCACGGCGTAATCGAAAAATGCTGCCAACGTGCCAGATTAACCATCATCGCGGCCAAACACACTATCTAATTATCTCGGCCACTGCAGCAACAACTGCCTCCACTGACGAGATGCCGGCACAGCCAAAGTCGGGATTTGAACTACTCCGACCCTAGGACCGACACAACCACTACCAATTTTAGAAATTCAACCCGGATTTACCACAATTCGCGATACATAAAAACCGGAAATGTCGTGCTCGGACAGACAACAAGAAATTTGTCTTGCGATTTAATCACAAGCTTCGTGTTAACAAATAAGATTCTAGCTTATAATAGAGGGGTGAAACGAAGCATCTCCTCCCCCGCTTTGTTTCCGGCTATCTCCTCTGACCGTTCATCCATTGAGGACCACCGCTCCGAATCCTAATTCCACGCCGATTCTTAATTATTTATTACCAATTATCCTCCAATATTTTTTCCGCCTCTGTGGAGGAAGAGCCTTTCCTGAGATCGACCAAATATCGAAATATCGAGACCGATCTCGAAGAAAAAGAGGGCGCTCTCCACATCCTTTCCTTCTTCAAAACTCGAGAACAATATTTCACAAGAGACAGTACGAGAGAAACCGGTACCGATTCTTGAAATACAGCCCTATCTATTGAGGTGCTTCTCATCACGGTCGAACTTGTTCAATGAGGCCTAAACCGTCCGTCTATCTCTGTCTATCTCTGCTACAAGTGGCGTTGAGGCGCTTCTCAACATCTCGGTCGAATCTGTCCGGCGACAGAGTACTCCTTGCCGAATATTCGAGGCTTTGTATATTGCCGAAGCGCTCCTTCGCATAGTTGAGTACGCTCGGTACAGAGTTTTTCGTCCCACCAGAATCCCACCGTCCAAACCTCAAATCGCAGTATCAGAATTCTCCCCCCGACAAATTAAGTTTCCGACCATCCGAAACTCCACCGAAATCTCGTCTTTCGGTATCAGAAAGTTTTCTGGCGCGGATTAGGACTATTTGACGAGACGAGACTCTCATGAAATCCGCGGATTCGAAAGCCTCCGATATCCTGCTGTCAGAATAACAGCATCTCCGAGACAATGCGCTCATCTTCGCGGACTTTAGCCCGCTGATTCGCGATTTACTGCGATCGCTCTGACAGCTCGGTTTCGAGAAAAACAGTTGTTTTACAACTCACAGCGCGACACGTTCTCGCGTCCTGTGCGCCCCGAGCGTCCCACCGAACGCGAGGTAGTCAAATTTCGACCGCCTAAGCAATCTCTCATTTTGCGATGCGTACATTGTACAGCGAATAATCAAACGATCACTCAGCCATATCGATGCGCTTTTTACACTTGCGATAAGGCGGATAATCGTTTCTTGTAAATATCATATCCAAATTCAGCTTAGTGAATAAAGTTAATTTTATTTAATTGTAAACAAGCGTACACTATCTCTCTTTATCTCTCTTTATCTCTCTCTCTCTCTCTCTCTCTCTCTCTCTTTATCTATCTCTTTCTTTCGCTTTTCCATCTGGCGACCATCTGAGTTCTATCTGCGCAAAGTAACGCGAAATCGTTTTAAGTTTATAAATATCCATAAATATAGTATGCTATATCCATGCGAACGGATAGCTAAATGTTATGCATTCACAGTTGCTAGAAGCGTCTCAAGATGTTTGAAAGATAGAATGATAGAGCATCTGTTTATAGTACGTACTTCCAGAATGTCTTGCAACAAATTATAGTTCAAAACAAACGAATGTTTATAATAAACTGCATTCTTGCATGTACATATTAACGTAACATGGCTCAAACCTTTAGGTAAGCAGTAACAAATGAATCTGACAATGAACTACGCCGCTCTTGCCTATCTCTTGTACTTAATACGTAAAACATTTACGTTTCTAATTCAAAAGCTTCAGACAAAATTTTGCCAAGAAAGTTTCAAAATCGGGTCAAAGGAAAAAAGAGATTATGCTAAGTCAGCCTACATGGATATTAAAAAATGATTGTTCAAAAATTACTAGATGTTCTTTCTCTGACATGAAAATGTTCTTTTTGTAAAACTTAAGAAGATATTAGATCTTAAATTGAACAATTTTTGTTAAATATTCGATAATGCTTTCTTCTGATAAAGCATCAATTTTTAGTCCTGTTAAACATTGTTTGATTTCGGTAAAGTTAAAGTAAAAAATCATATGTTTTTTAAATTTAATTTTATTTATTTCATTACAACATTCATTGTTTAAATAGCGACTGCAACTTCATTACAAGTATTGTATTTACAGTGCATTTTAACTGACATGCATTCTCTGTAAAATTCCAATATTATGGATCACATTACATGCGATGCACATTACAATCATTATTCTTTTGATAAGTTTATTGTGAGTGTAGGTAGGAATCATGTATATCAAATATTTGACATGTCTCTATAAAAAAATCAGGATACAAGTCCGGCGAACACGTTGACTAAGCAACAGACTCGTCTCTTCCTATTTCCCTGAAGATGTTACTAAGATGTTGGCTCATTCGAAGATTAAATTATAAAAAGCACACTATTGTGTTTGTACAAACTATAATTTTGTATTGAAGATAAGGAATGCCAAACCCTTAATAGTTAGAGCTTAACGCTTTAAAGATCCTGAAAAATATTACGAACAGAAAAATATCGAACAAAAACGAACAGGATTTTTATCAATTTCTAATCAGAAGCTGTCAGTTTGTAATTGCTAATATCATTCCTATCTGTTTGTAACCACAGAATTGTTGTAAGTATCAATACAGATAGTTGGAGATAGAGTATACGTAATCTTATTATAACTGCATCTATAAACAATTACGTCTAGAAATATTAATGGTATCCATATGCAACAATTTTTATATCTGCATTTTTATCTGCAAATATGTTTCCTAATAGTAATGGCTTCTGTATTTTATATGCTACGATTTCTATCAGTTTCTATCTGCAATTGCGTCTGAGAATCCTAATTCTGCTGTTCGCGTTTCGTACACTACAATTTCTACCTGTGTTTATCTGTAATCGCATCTGAGAATTCTAACAGTTTCTGTTCGTGTTCCATACGCTACAATTTCTGTCTGTGTCTATCTGCAATCTGAAAATCCTAAGATTTTTGTCCGCGTTCTATATGATACGATTTTTATATGCAATCACATAATGATATTTAGAAAAATCTCAATTGATTAGATTAAATCTTATTACGCTTCATACATACATAATATGTTTATATGCGAATTTCTGCGTTAACTGATTACTCCTGGTCATCCAAATTTAATTGTTTGATCATTAAAACGAATTGTGAATGAATAAAAATTATTATTTTTTTAAATTTCTTGACTTGTCGTGATCACTTGCTTTCACTTGACTGACACTATCGTCATTTCGCCTATTACAAAAAATCCATTTTATCATTATGATTCATATGATTCCTGATGTTTGATAAGATTTGAATATGTATTTGTGTAGTAAATTTCTTGATTGGTCTTTTGTTAACTGGCTTGACAACCTTTGTGAGCATTTACCAATATCCTCTTCTACCACTGGTCGTCACCACACGACACATAAAAATCAATTATCACGTTTGTATACAATGTTATATTTTTTTATAGTTCCGAACAATTTATCTCCATATTTCGCTGAAGATGGCTCAAAAAAAGCTGAAACGTTCGAATTCAAATTATGTCTAAAAATAAAATGAAGTTATATTTTATGTTTTCAATAAATAAGCTATTTTTTAAAATAAGGTCGCATTATTAACAGCGTGATTCTTACTAGTCATTTGATTTATTATTTTGATTTATAGTTTCGAGAATCACTGTGATATATAATTTTTGTAAAATTATTATTAATTATTATTATTATTATTATTATTATTATTATTATTATTATTATTAATTAACAGTCGAATAAATAAAAATTTGGTAATTTAATATTGGTTGACATCATCATTGACGAAACAGCCCTTTGCAAGTCAGTGCCTGCTCTAGATTCTGCCTCTAGACTTTTCATGACCGTCGTCCGCCAGTTCCTGATCTCGATATCACTAGCATCTTGCTCTATGTCGTTCAGCCATCTGAACCTTAATCTTCCGCGCTATCTATTACTATATTCTGATACATGTGCAATCCGCTTCGGAGGATACTGGGAGCTCTTTGTATATATATCCTGTCCATTTGAGTTCTTGGACTTTTATGTATATTATGATGTACGGATTATTATATTGTTGGTATAGTTCGTTATTTCGTTTTCTGCACTACACTTCATCCACATTAACATCTTCAAAGATTTTTTCAAAGCACTTTTCTTTCAAAAGCAGATATGTTATTCGTCCTTTTTATTCGTGGTCCATGCTTCATAGATATATGTACGGATAGGTTTCATTAGTATTCTATAGATTTAAATTTTTTCTGCCGATAAGTCTGCTTTTCAGATATCTGTTAAGATCATGGATGCATTTGGATGCTGCAAAGATTCTCTGCTTTATTTTGAACTGATGTTATTTTTGTTTTGATGTTATTTATACTTGTGCTGACATATTTGAAGGTGTCCACTTCGAAGCTGTAGTTTCCCATTGTTAGGATATGACCGGTCCTGACTGTTCTCACTTTTGAGCTTGTTGAAACTAGAACTTTCGTTTTTTTTTTCATTTTAGGCCCATGCCTTTGACAGTTTTCTCAAAGATAGTAAAGGCTTGCTTCAATTTTTCGATCGACCTCACAATTATGTTTATGTCATCGACATACGCTAGGAGCTGCTTGATTTGAGGAAAATTTGTTTTCCCTGTAAGTACCCCTCCGATTCTTTTATTATTTTTTCCAGGGTTAGGTTAAACAAGAGGCATGTTACTCTATCTCTTTGTTTTACCCCTCTAATTGTTTCGAAGAGCTTGGATAGTTCATTCTATTCTCACCTTGTATGTTGTTCTAGTCACGGTTGCCTTAATCAGCCTGATGATCTTTTGTGGAATCTGGAATTCCTCCATTGCTAGAGTTTTGACTTAGTTATGCTGTCATGTGCTGCTCGAAAGTCAATAAACAAAGGGATCTAGGATTTGGCGTAGTGAATATTTGATCAATTGTAGATTTTCCTTTCCAGCTTGGTACGCCCCTATGCATCTTTCTGCATATGAACATAATTTCTTGAATAACACATTTAAAAATATTTTGTAAATGGATTCAGGAGCATGATGACCATATAGTTTCTGTAATCGAGTTGATTTTCTTTCCTGGAGTGGGCATATCACGCTGGTTCCCATTTCCTCCGATAGTTTCTCTTGGATCCATATCTTCGTAATTATTTCATGAATACGAGGTATTATCCGTCTGCTGCCTTGAATAGTTCGCTTGAATGGTGTTCTCACTCGAGGCTCTTGTTATTTTTTAATTTTTTTACTAGCTTTTTCTATTTCTTTTGTTGTTGGCGAATCTTCTTCCAAGAGTGCGTTTTGCTCATTCGGGAGATGTTGCGCATCTTCGGCAGTGTGATTGGCAGTGTTGTTGTTGTTGTTGTTATTTTCGTTTTTATCGCTCAAGAATTGAATAAAATGTTCTTTTCATCTATACATGATATCTCTCTTATTACTCATAATGTTCTCACCGCTTTTAATTATGATTTTTGACTTAAATTCTCTTCTACCTTTGTTGATATTCTAAGAATTTCTTGGCATAATGTTGATTATGCAGAGTTTCCAGTTCCTCGAAAATTGCTCCCTTTTTTTCGTTTTGTGGATTTGTTTTTCATTTCTTCTTAGTTCTTTGTAATTGTCTACCAAAGTCCATGTTCTTTTACCTTGTTGTTGCTTCATAGGCTTGGTTCTTTTTTCTAGTTATTTCTCCGCATTCCTCATCGAACCAATTCTTGATATTATTGTCATTGTTTATTTGTCATTGTTAGTGATATTGTGTCATTTTTAAGAAAATAATAATGTTTTAGCCAATGATTTAAAAGTGTACTACAATTTAATTGTCGTTTAATACACAATTTGAGAATTCAACTTTAGTTGCAATCTATTATGTGCAGTTTATGCTAAATATAATTCTGTATATTAATATGTAATAATTCTGTATATTAAAATTAGAGACGGATAAATATAGTATGCGCAATAAGTATATATATTATATAATTGCAATCAGAAACAGATACAATGCAATATACATATTACAATTGCAAACAGATATGATGCCTATAGCGTATTTAGCGCCAGAAACGGATAAAACATGTCATCTTTATGTACAAATGCAAATAAATAACTTATTCTGCAATCATATGCAGATAAAAATTGCATATTTGTATTTGCATATACAGAGTGTCCTAAAATTCACGCATTTGGAGTACACTACGTGATTCTTTATACTAAAAGAAACAACTTTTTCCTTTAGCAAAATTGCGTTTGAGTAGTTTTTACAGTGGATCAGATTAAAGGTGACGAATGAGCGCGCGTACGTAGCGGTCAGGGCCGGTGCGCGTTTCTCAGATCGACGCGGCCTGATATTTAATCTTTGACGATTTCACACACTATATCGTTAAAATATGATAAAAGTTAACAAAATAAATATTGTTTTCATCCTTTATGTAACGATTCAATAAAAAAATTGTCTGATTTCGTAGCATTATCTGGAAATTATTTTAATTAATGCGTAATTGCATATGACAATAAAAAAGAATTGAATTTAACGAATACTTATTAATTAAGTGAGTACGTAATCACGAAGAGTTCAAAAAATTAATTTTTTCATAACAGTGTTTAAAGATAAAATATTATAAAATATTAAAATTTTTAATTTAACATATTTTAAGAGAGCTGGTTCTCTCCTTATTTTATCAGAAAAAAATAATAAAAGATTTATACAAAAAGTTTATCTTTATAACATTACGATAATTACATAATCTCATAAAATTTCAATAACGGTTATATTGATATCTTGAAATTTTTTCACATATTTCGTAAATGTATAAAATTATTTCTAATATCTTGAATCAGAAAAGTTAAACAAATTATAAAAAATTAAAATTATTTAAATAAGAAAAATATGAAAAATTATATTTATCAAAATAAATAATTTTGATAATTATGATCTAATTGTGTAAATAATTGTTTTAAAAATATTTTAAAAATATTTTAAATATTTTTAAATAACTGTATTCCTTTTTGATTATCATATGCAATTGCGCAGCAATTAAAATAAATAAAACGCTCAGTTTATACATATATACTTACATATACTTACATTTCTTTTTATTTCTAGACAATGCTATGAAATCAGAATTTTTTTATTGAATCAGTAGGTATAATAGGCCGATTCTAAATCATTATGTGTTAGTGAGTATACATATATAGTACGTTCGTGTGTACGTGCGTGCGTGCGTGCGTGCGTGCGTGCGTGCGTGCGTGCGCGCGCGCGTGCGTGCGCTCGCTCGTGGGAAGGGGATGACGTCACGGGAACAAGGTCTCACGCGGAGAAGGGGAGGCTCCCTCTCTGCGTTCTCTCTCCCTCTACGTCGAACGAACTGCATTGTATCACTATCATATTACTAATGAATGACTATCAATTATTATTAAATACAAAAATATATGATTTAGGCGGATTATTTTGGATTATATTCATTCGATTATCATTTATTAT